GTAAATTTGAATAATAGTGATATTAACTGGCCTTCCCTGTAGGTGCATGGATATTATCTGTTTACTTAGAGATTCTGTTTTCCTACTTCATGACTTCATTTTTTTCATTGTCTTAAAAAAGCTTCAGATCCCCAGTGAACACTATTAAAGTGCCTGACCAATGCATTTAAATCTAGATAATGTTATTGTTCATTGAATGTTTAAAATAATGCATGTTAATAGCCATTGTTATTTGTTCACTTATTGACAAAAGGCATACTCATTTTTGTTGTCTATTTTTTTTAACTTATAAGCAAAAGATATGCTTTATTTAATTTGTTTCCTCCCAAAGTCCAAATGCAGATGACTAACAGCCAGCATTCATAGTGAGATATTACTTATCTCATTCAAAAACCAAAGAGCTACATAGAACTCATTCATTGTTTCTCATTTATCATTAACTGAAACAAATTAGAAAGTTCTAGCATATTTTAAGCACAATTTATGTGATTTTATTGTAATAACATGGAGAGCTAAGTATAATTCATTTGTTCGCCTGAGGAACAGTACATCATTTAATTTTCTAAAATGCTGAGAGAACCCAAGCAAGAGAAACAGAGAAACCTCAGACTTTGCTGAAAGTCTTTAGATTTTTATGGCAAAAGGTTAATTAATTCACTGGCTGTGTTATAACAGCCTGCAGGTAATTTTCATCAACCTAGCTGTAATGTGAACTTTCTTTGTACTTATAATCTATTACTTGAAGATGTGATCATTTTTCTCACATTCACACAAACAGATAAATCATTCTATGTGTAGAACACAGAATTTTTTTTTCCTGCTTGATTAACAGAATTTTGAATAATATAAAGTGATTAAAATGAGGTTAAATTTTCATTTTCTTAGTGAAATGCAACATTTAAAATGCCAATTATGATAGAAATTTATAGTCACTGTAATTGGCTAGTTAGTCATCATTTACAAATACAGTCACGGATCTGCATAAATTGAGAGCCAACTTGAACTTGTGACCTAAGCTCAGTTATAGTACAT